TGTCTGTCCAAGGGCTGTCTGTCTGTCTGAGGGCTGCCCAGCAGCCTGGGCACGGTGGCTGAGTATTACAAAGGCTGCTAAGAATAGCCAGCAGGCGCCAGCGCCCAGGGCCTGCGCTCCCCAGCCGAAACACGCAGCGTGAGCAGGCTGCGGGCAGCATCCCTCCCGGGGCCGGGAGCCACCCCATGGCTCACTTCCCCCTTTTTGGGGCCTGAGGAGCAGCGAGCTCAGATCCCTGGGCTGGTCACCGAGCCCCTGGCACAGGGCAGAGCCGGGTGGGAGCAAAGCCAGGCGCTTTTTCCACGGCCGCTGGGTCGCCCTTTTATTTTTAAACAAGATCCGGGGCTGGAGGAGGATTTAGCAGGCAGCCCCCGCCGCCTCCCCCTTAGTTCAAGCAGGGGTCAGAGCTTGGGGGCAGCGTCCTGCTGGGGGTGGGAGGCCGGGAGGGAGGCCAGGGGGGAGGCAGGACCCTCCCCAGGGCTGGCAAGGACAGCAGCAGGGCATCAAAGGCATCCCCGAGCTGCAAGGGACCAGATGGGGGCAACCCACAGAAAGAGGGCGAGGAGAGGGAGCACCATCACCCCACACCCCCAGCACCTGGATGAGCTCCGGGGGGAAGGAGACAACACCCGGGGGGTGGATGCGGGGAGAGGAGCGGCTCCCCCAGCCCTAAATCCCCCTCCCCACCCTTATTTTTTTGGGGGAGGATGCTGGCAGCGGAGCCCAGCCCGCAGCGCTCCCCCCAACAACCTCAACCCCCCCAAAACCTCCTCCATGCCCTCCTCAGCCCCCAGCCCGGTGTCAGCCTTACCTTGGTGTCCTTCTTCTCCTTCTCCTCCTCCTCCTGCTGCTGCTGCCCGGCCTCCCGGTGCTCGGCGGCCGGAGGCTGCCTGGGGATGCTCTCGGTCTCCGCGGGGCTCTGCTCAGCCTCGGGGCCCCGCTGTGCTGCTGCTGCTGCAGCCTCCTCCTTGCCTCCTTTCCCTCCTTTCTCCTCCTTCTCCTTCCTTCTCCTCGTCCCCCCGCCGCTCGGAGGCCGCCTCCTTCCCCTCGCCGCCCGCCCCGACCTCCTCCACCGGCACCCGGCCGCCCTCAGCCTCCGGCCCCTCGGAGCCCGGCTCCTCCGCTTCCCGGAGCCTCTCCCCTCTTCTTCCTTCTCCTCCTCCTCCTCCTCCTTCTCCTCCCGTCCCTCGCAGCCTCACAAAGACGGAGGCCAGGACGAGGGCCAGGAGGGTGAAGAGCAGCGGCACGGCCAGGTAGAGCTCCATGGCTCCGGGCTGCCTCCCTGCCCCGAGCCGCCCCGCTGCGGGGCTGGGCCGGCTCCCGGCCGGCTTTACCCCGGCGTCATCTCCCCGAGCCCTGCCCACAGCCCCGGCCCCCTTCTCCTCCCACTCCCCGAGCCGGCCTCGACCGAAACCCGGAGGGATTTGGGGCGAGGGAGAGCCGGGGAAGGCTTCCCCGTGGTATCGGGGAGCCCCCCGCGCTGGGTGGTCCCCAGCCCCAAAAATCACAACCCTGGGGCTGGGAGGGTTTTTTTTTTTTTGAGGGCCTTTCTGCGGGCTGCTCGCTCTCTGGGATCGCTTCACGCCTGGCAAAGCTCCCCGGGGAGGCTTTGTGGGATCTGGGGGTGGCAGCCGGGCTGCGGGCGATGCTCCTTGGGGAGCGTTTGCACCTTTTTGGCCCTCGCTCGGGAGGCGCAGGGGCTGGGGTGGCGAGGGGAGGCTGTGCCACCCTCAGCAAGGGGCATCTGTGTGAGGGCATGGAGCATTGCTCCACCTGCCCGGGGGGCTGCAGGAGATGCCCACATTCCCCAGGCAATGCCCGAGCTCCCCAGGCAATGCCCAAGCTCTCCAAGTAATGCCCAAGCTCCCCAGGAGATGTCCAAGCTCTCCAGGCCATGCCCATGGTCTCCAGGCCATGCCCAAGCTCCCCAGGTGGTGTCCAAGCTCTCCAAGCAATGCCCGAACTCCCCAGGCCATGCCCATGCCATTTGCCCCCTGCCCACAGCACCCTCGGGTGCCCCCGATGCCACGACACGATGCCAGCGGGTGCCAGGGGCAGGTGGGCTGCAGGAGCCTCCCCCCGGCACCTTGCTGCTGGGGGGGCTAGAAAATGGGAATATTCAAAGCCTGGGTGCTGGAAACCCACCGTGAGCCGGCAGGGAGGCTGCCTAAGGGCTTGCCAGGTCCTCCCAGGCCCTGCCGCCGAGGATTTCCTGCCTCTGGGGACCGCGGGGAGGATTAGGCACCGGTCCGCGGGGTGGGCTGAAATTAGAAGGTCTGAGCTATTCCTGCCAGGGCAAAGCCAGCCCCCAGCTTTCTCCCAGCTGCACGCACGGGGAGCAGACATGGGAATGTGCCCCCAGAGCCGCCTCCAGGGAAAAGCTTTGGGAGCTGTCTGTGAGAGCAGAATTTCGTTATGGACAGGGCTAAAAACAAGCCAGGGACAAAGAGGGGATTAAATCCCCAGGGTGGGAGGAAGGAAGCGAAGCCGTGATCCTCACTGCCGTTTGTCTTTACTGGTAATCCTATCAGGCAGGCAACCGTCAGCGTATGGATAATTGTATTCTTAGTAACAATCGAGCCCGGCACTTATCCTCCCCTCTCCTGCGTTGCGGTTTGTGGGCGCCGATCGTCAGAGCTGCTCGAGAGCTCGGCCAAAACCTCCAGAGCCTGGTGGCATCTCAGCACCATTCAGCAGAGGGTGGGTTCAGCGTCGGTTTGGGATGCGTATTTGGTCCCTTCTCCTCCAAATCTGCTCTTTATCTCAGCAAAGCTACCGGCTTCCAGAAGTTTGACTCACCAGGAGGAAAAGCACGAGGCGCACGCCTGCCAGCCGTGCTCAGCAGAGAAATACAAAGCAGCACAAGTGGCTCCAAGGACAGTCGGATTGAAATCCTTCCTCAAGCAGTTTCTGGGGGACTCTGCCAGGGAGCAGAAAAAAAAAAAAACACACAAAAACCCACAAAAACCTACAAAACCCACAGCACCGAGGCTCTCGGACTGGCTCCCTGCTCCCCTGTGCGGGTGTGCAGTCGGATCTGGAGACAAGGAGGGATTTCCTCTCCTGCAGAGTAGGATCTGACAGGGATGATGCCCCGAGCAGAACCCAGACCCAGCGTGCCCCGTGTGGTGCCCTCTTGTCCCCTCTGTGGCGTTCCAGAGGCAATGGGATAGAGAAAACTTGCCCCAGTGCAGCCAGGATCCCACTGGCAGGGACGGAGGGTATCCATATGGTTCCCCCATCAATTTACTCATAAAAATACGCTGCTGTCCCTCTGAGCTGCCACAGGGATGGGAAATCCGCACGTCCAGCAGGGTGGGAGGCCCACAGAAACTGGCGGCAGCTCCTTTGTGTTCCCAGGAGCCAGGCTTGGTGTCACCCAGAGGGTCTGCAAGACCACGGAGAGGGGGTTGCAATCCCGACAGGGGGGTGAATGGGATCGGCTCCTGCCGTGCAGCATCCCAACAGCGGGATGAACGGGATCAGCTCCCGCTGTGCTGTATCCCAACACGGGAATTAATGGGATCAGCTCCTGTTGTGCAGCATCCCAACAGCGGGATGAACGGGATCGGCTCCTGCTGTTACACCACGCGCTGCGGGGCCGGCTTGGAGCAGGGGGAGCGCCAGGGGGGCTCCCATGAGTGATGCTCTTCGTGGTGATGCTCCCTGCGTGGGAGCCAAGCCGAACGGGCAGGCTGCCCTCTCTTGGGAGAAGCCCAGCTCTGCAGCAGGGAGCTGGCTGCGGCTGGGGGGGTCCCATGGGTGCTGACTGGCAGAGCACCCTAACACAAGGGCTGCTGTGCCACGGCCAGCTCTGCCCCCCAGCACACGAGCAGTGCAGCGCCTCGTCCAGGGAGCTGACTGTGCCCCCAAGTCATCCCAGATCCCATTTCCCTCCCAATGCAGCACGAGCACACACCGGGCCCATTGTCTGAACTGTTTCTGCAAGCCCCACTCATGCTCCCCACATCCTCTCTGCCGTGGCACCAGAAAGCAGAAGCCAGCAGCAGAGGGGCAGCCCCACAGAGGAGCCTTTGCACGGCTCGGAAAGCAGCGGAGGCTCTGCAAACACATTAGTTTAATCCCAAACCATCCCAAATTGCACAGTCACTTGGTGCTGTGGCTAACACCCAGCTAGAAGTGTCATCCTGCAGTGATTTGCTTTTACACCAACCTGGAAGGCACAAGGACATCAGCGAGGCGCAGCGCTATCAGCTCTCCGCATCCCCACTCATAACCTTGTGTTGGCTCCCCAGGAGCAAGGAAAAGCTCCGCACATGCTGTTGCTCTTGTTTAAATAAGATATTAGCTTGCAATTGTCACAAAAAGGAAGCCAGGTAAGTAAATCAGGGGAATAAAATCAAATCAAGGCCGCAGTGGCGCTGAAGGAGGTGCCCTCAGCACCTGCAGATTAGGAAGAACAAAGGGATTATTTTAAAGCTAAACACACAAAGTCACCTCTCCTGGGGAAGAGAAGCAGGAGAGATGTTAGAAGAACATTTCTACAGTGGCTCTGCACTGCTCTCAGCCACCACAGCTTGCTGGAATCGGGGCTTTTAAGTGCTGTGTCCCCCCCCCCAGAGAGCCCGCACAGAGGCTCGTCCCTGAGCACGGCTGCCCCGAGCGAGGCAGCAGCCAGCAGAGGGTACCAACAGGGCACCGGGGGAGAGCTGCTGGAAAGGAGAAAAAAAAAGCTTTATTTTTTAACCAACAATAAACAAGAGGAGTTCTTACAGCTGTGTTTGGCGAGGGAAGGACAGAGGTTTATGTGGAAATCAGCAAACTTGTCTGTTGCCAACACAATTCTCCAGTGTTTCAATCCACAATATATATATAAATACTTCAAAAGCCTCCAGGCTGCGTCCCACACTCCTGTTTATCCACGGCTCCTGTTTTTAACAGAGCTCAGTGACGAGGTACACCACCCTACTGCAGGAGACACGGGTGCCTGTAGTCCTTTCAGATCATCATGCAAAAGAAAAAGTGACCAGCAAGCAGGGTAATGCAAAATAATTGATTTTATTTAAAATAAAAAGCAAAACCACAATCATCCAAACAAGACAAGAGTATCCCAGCTCTGCTGGACGGGGTGATAAAAGCAGCTAATGGCAGTGGCAGGGCTCGGGGCTGACAGCGTGACTGTCAAAGGAATCGGGTAAGCTTTTTCCTTTCCCTTCATGAGGGGAATGCCAAAACCTTGCTGTTCCAATGAGCCCAACATTTCAGGCATTTCAGCTCTGATTCAATCAACAGTCTCGCTTCCTGCCCCGTGATGGCTGGGGATTCGGGGAGGAGAAGGGTCTGGGTTAGCTATGAAAGAGGTCGCTGTCTTCCTTCTAGGCGTGCGGGGAGGCTGAGTGGAGCTGAGGAGACGAACTGGAGCCAGCCTGAGCTCGCTGGGAAGGGGAGGAAGGGGAGGAAGGGAGGGCAGTGCCCAGGCAGGGCAGCGCCTCCTCGGCATCGCCTGCTCCCGGAGCGCTTGTGCAGAGAGCAGGCGCTGGGTTCGGTGTGCATGCTCACATCAACAGCTCCGTGGGGCTATGAGTTAATTTCCTCCTGAAATATCGGAGCAGACGAGCCCGCGTTGGTGACCAGAGCTCACAAAGCCCTTAGGTTTTTCCAGGGCAGGCAGAACACTGGCACCAACACAGCTTGGAGAGGAAGCCCACGGAACAAACCAGCACGTGGCTCTCTCAGGCTGGGCAGCGAGGCAGCCCCCAGGGGAGGCTGACAGCCCCTGCTGGTGCTGCTCTGGGGCTCAGGGAAATGAGGGGCTCCGAGGGGCTCGCTGGGCCTGGGCACAGCCCGCAGCAGCCTGCTACATGCAGGGGCTCCACAATACACAGACACTGGCGTTGAGGCATCAGAGCCACATGGGAAGCACAGCACGGAGAGGTGAGAGCACAAAACTCACTCTCCACGGTCAGCCTCCCACAAGCAGGGATGTAGATGTAGGCACAGGGGAGCTGATTTTAACTCCGTGCCCAACACACGTGGCTTGGGAAGAGGGCCTGGAAGCACCCCCACCTTCCTGCAAGGCTAACTCCCTGCTAGGAATAACGTACCCAGCCCGACTTAAAAGAAATCCTGATCTGGTTAGAGCAGGCCATGAAACACCACCAGTTAAACCCCAGTGAGACAAAAAGCCTCATTCTGCCCCAGCTGACGTACCACAGAGCAATTCTGGAAGGGCCACCAGAGAACACCCCAGGGCCAAAACTGCTGAACAACATCCCTGATGTTTTCTGCTAGGAAAAGCTAACGCCAGGTTAGGGAGTCTCGGCTTGCTCGGTATTTCTGGAACACTTCTTGTGGGAGGAGGATGTCAAAGCAGGTTACAGTTAGTACATTTCAGCCTCACAACACCCCTGTGAGGTAGGTGTTTTCCTGTCTACAGAGACAAAGAGAGGCTCATTGGTCTGGTCGAGGCAAGAACCTTTAAGAGGAAGACCCAGAGGCCCCAGGAGCTGCAATTCCCTTGCTGCCTAGGCACACACAGCCTCGTGTCGTATCACAGAGCGCCTCATGGAGCAGTCAGCACGGTGTTGCTGGTATCCTGATGCCTGCGGCCCGTTTCAAACACATTTCCTTGTGAGGGACATCACGTTTACACAGGCTGTGAACTGAAATGGTTTTATTCCACACCACGATGAGCTCACAGGCACAGAGGAACACTCTGCGCTCCCCCTCATCTTCCCGCTGTGCTTCTGGGGGGAAGAGGCATGGGATTCCAGGCGCAGTGATCAGCCTTCCAAGCATGCTTCAGGTTTTTGCAAAGCTGAACCCAAAGCTGAACCATGCAGCCAAACAGCAGCAAGCTACTGCATGAGCCATCTTCCATACGTACTAACCATCAAGCCACCAAGGAGGGCAGGCAGCCTTGCTCAAACAGCAGGTGGTTGTTTAATAAGGGCTCACCTCACCAGGACAGAGCTGAGTGCTGAGCCTTCGCCTCCTGAGGCCACTATGTTCTTCCAAAAGGTAGCAGCTGAAGCCTGTTCTGTCTAGGAAGGACTAAATGGGTTGTGCAGGCTCCCAGGCTGTTCAGCTGGGCAGGGAAAAAAAAAAGGCAACCTTGGCCAGAAATGCTAAATGTTTGGGAAGTAGTTTCCTGGAAGAATCTGCAGCACTGTATGGAGCGAGCATGCTCACGTATGTCTGGCTATCACAGGAAATTCAGGAGTCAGGACAGCTAAGGAATGCACCACTAAACCTTCACTCCCTCTGTTTTTTCATCACACTGCTCCGACATAACTGACTGGTACAGAAGTTTCAGAAACAGAGATCCTGATGAATGGAGTTAGGATTCCCTCGTACAACAGGATATGGCCCAGTCTCCAAGAAAGGAGAGAGCATTTAAATAGGAAGAGACAGGCTTGAAAACAAAACAAACACCCCAACAGAACAGACAAGCAATGTTCTGACTTCCATCAAACCCAACGTGTGTAAGAAAGTCATAATTAAAGACTGCCAATCTGCTTCTTAATCCAGCTACCAGTGCCTGGGCCTTCATGATTAGTAAATGTGACCGTTTCTGCTTCCTAAAGAAGGACGGCTGATGTGAGCTCCAATCCCACCTCCTGGGTCTCAGGAGAGCACCCAAGGAAGCATCCCAAACTACAGCTGGCTTCTGGCTGCGCTGCTCAGATCGAGAAGGATCACCTCCTCACCACCTTGCAGCATACCTCTGGCAAGACAGACCTCGCTGCTGACACTACCAGCACAAGCCCCTGCAAAAGAAAGCAGCTCCAACAGATCCCTTGGGGATGAGCGCTTCACCTGGCATAACAGAAATGCACCTAACACAGACTTAAGCATCACATTGCATTTTTTTTTTTAAAAAGCAGTAAAACAACGTCCCCCCTCCCAGTCCTTTAAAATTGGCACTGCAAGGTCTGGAGATTTCTGAACCCATAGCCTCAAAGAAAAGCCGTTTCTGTTTGTGAACTGCACTGGCCTGAACAAGCCCACGGCCTTGAAACTGTTTGGTATTTAAAGCCCAACAACTGTTGTTACCACTTAAGAGTCAGCCTGACTTTGTCAGTTGGTACCCAGTGCTAAACAACACACCTGCACCTAGAGGAGTGTAATTACCTGCAAACACTGACTTTTCTCCCTCGTTTTTGCTGTGCAAGAAACTCCAGGATTCTCCTGCTCCATCGAGCTTCCTATCGCAAGGTGCTAGTGCATCTTTGTTACCACACAGAGCAGAAGTAAACCGCCTGCTGCTGGTTAGTGCGTCACACCTTTGATGCACATTTGGAGGTAAGGACCACAAAAGATGCTTCAGGTAGGTGGCCACCTCCACAGAAGTTGCTTCAGCATTTGGAGCATCCGTACCACCTTCCTTTCCTGAAATTCTGGTGCGAGATCTGCCAGACATTCAGACGGGCCAGAAGGGCTGGTGTTCCTTTCCTCAAGTGTACAGGACAACATGTAAACATATGACAGTGTCAAAGCAAGGCAGGTTTCTAGGTTTACCTGCTGGTTTTAAAAAGAGTTCTTTAAAAACTGACCGTTGTCTTCCTCGCCAGTTACGTGAACCATTAAATACTCGGCGCGTCCTTACCCAAAGATGGGCTCTTAGTGCACTCACTTGGGGCGCGGAGGGGACAAAGCATTGCACAATAATGGAGGTGGGGAGTTCCCCTTTCAGTTAGTAAGGAGCCAACCTTCGACAGCACGTAATGAGGATGGATGTTTGGACTGAAGAATGACAAACAAACGTAAGGACCGTGAGAAACAGGAGCAGAGGGGGGTAGAACAGAGCTGGCTGGCTGCTAACGGAGCTTCAATCGGCAGCTGCCTCTAGGCGGGTGCTGTTATCTCTCAGGGGTAACTGCGGCCTCCACAAGATTCCCTAATCCTGTCAAAAAAAGGTACAACTGCCTGTCATCAACTATAGCATTTCCCCTCATACCAGGGCGCAAGATCACAGCATGCAGGTTAATTGTATGATTTTACTTCCCCCATGATCGTTCAGACTAGGTAAGATTTTGTGCTTGAAACTGTTTCTGTTAACTGATCCGTCACACAGCTGGAGCAGAAATCCCACCCATCCTCACAGAGAGGAACAATCAACATTCAGAAAGAATGAAACCCGGAAAGAGGAGGTTCTAGGCAAGGTGCTAATTTTTAGTACTTAAGATAATCAAAATGTGAAGGGCAAAGAACAGAAGAACACACAGGACTTTCAGCAGAGCAGATCTGCACGCATGGTCTGCTTTTGCAGCTTTATTTAAAGCAGGGGCTGCATTATGATTTGTTATCACCTGCTGCTTGTTCCCTGCCTGAAATCACAACTGTCTGCTGAAATGGGATTTGACAGCGCTGTGACAAATTATTAAAACCTCAAGGGGAAAATAAGCAGTCAGCACAGCTCACTCCAACTGTTTAAGGATGCTCTGCACTTTAACTCAATTGTATCCAGCTACGAGCAACTCCTGAAAAGAAGAGAGCAAAATATCCCAGCCAGAGAAGTGGCAACACGGACAGGAGCAACCAGGTCTTTCGGCAGTACCTGGCCTAATAGGTAGGGTGTAAGGCTGAGAATCTGGACTTTCTCTGATAAATTACTTTTGCACACCCTCTCTAGCAGACCATGCACTAAGTCACCACAGCACTTGTACCCGTGCCAAACCTGGAGAATCCAACAGCTCAGGAACTAGACAGCACCCTAGTGCAGGCAGACAGCTATTGCAGGAGCACTGGTTACCCAAACCACCAGGAGTTAGTTTGCTTCAGAATTTTGGCAAGCTTCTCTTATATGAGGAAAAACGCTTCATTTAGCAAAGACTTTGTGTTTGTTCTCCCCTGCAGTATACTCAGTTTCCTACTGTTTCTCTGCTTTTAGCCTGACAACTCAGAACTTCCTCATTAATTTCACCCCCCAGCAATTATCTATTCTTGGTTCTGCAGTGTTAGTATTCCCTCCATCCATCTTGACTGATGAGAACTGATGAGAAGCCTGCTCTTTTTTTTTTTTTGAACAGGTAAACACAGACATCTGTGATTTTGGATGAATTCTGCCTTTAACAGATGAAAGAGTGCGCCAAACTGAAGTAATCCAGGCCACAATAAAACAAGAGACACCATGCAACTACTTGAAGGTTTTCTGTTTGGACAGCAAGACATCTGAAACAGAGTCTGGCCTGACCATTCCATAACTGTTCACTCGTTATTTGTGCTCCAATTCGTTATTTGTGCTGCCAATTAAAATACCCCACCTCTCTGATTAAAAAATATGCTTTCTCTATTAAAAAGACAACTAGAAAAAGTAATAAAACTGTTTATTAAATAATGTAGAAAATTCATTTTCTTTTTAAAAACACCAAGAATCTTAGTTTTCAGTTTGGAGCAACTTCATGGAAGGAGGGTATCACCCCTAGCCAACAGTGTCACACCCCCTAAGGATCCCCTTGCTCTCCACCCCTCTACTCAGCTCAGGACTTGTCCTATCCTACTGACAGCTCTGCCCTGCATTGTCTTTTGCTTGTTTAAAAGAAAAACAGTTGCCATCGGGTCACCTGGAGGAGCTGCGCTCTTTGCTGACACAGTCGTCTTGGGAAGTCGTGTCACCGTTACCCATCATACTGCATGTTCGCCTCTTTTTCCTCCGGTGCATCATGCCCTCTGTCTCAGAGCCAGAGTCACACTGAAATACGAAGAGATGACCAGAATTCAGAAAAACTTGGTAAAACGTTTGTGCTACAGAATTCAGCACAAGAGCTGTCTCAGCAACCCAGAATAATGAATATTCAAAGACCAGCCTAGATTAAACACATGAAATCAATTTTAAATTTAGTGATCAAACCCCAGAAACTGGCACATTCTTAGATTTGGTCGTTGGCTAATGCAGCTTGGTGGCAAGACAACTGATGCATTCAGTTTGGCTCCTAGAAGGATCTAATCATCTAAGAACAGATTCAGCACTTTCCGACAAGTTTATGCCACTACAGTGAAGAGACTAACCGATAGTCTCTGTTCTGGACCTCAATCCCCCTTCCCATTTGAAAGGCATCCAGTTTGCTGCCATTTTATACAAGCATGGCTTAGCAAAATATGTGACAGATTTATATATTAGAGAAGCACAAATCAAAGAAGCCAAGTTAATTTCCCAACACAAGGATGGGCTTCAGCAGACAGAACCTGCTGGGAGCACAGATTCTTCCACAGTTTTTTTAGTTGCTTTCTAAAAAATTCTTCCATAAGATGTGAATCTTAGGATGTGGGATTATGATTCAAGATAACACACCATCAGGTACGTAAATAACCAACTGCAGAATACGGATTACCTACTATAGTTAAAAAAAAAAAAAATCAAACCCATTACCTCTGAATCAGAGTCGGAGGAGCTAGAACTTGAGGAACTGGACGAATCACTAGAGCTGTCAGAAGCAATACCAGTAGATTCCTGGAGATCAACCGAATCAGCCAAGGCTGCCAAGTCAGGGTGCTCCTGCTTTAAGATCCTAAACACAGTTCAAACATCAGCATTAACCCTTGAACAGTAACAGTTTTGCTTCTCTGTTTTAGAGAACACAAAAAGAGTTACTAACTCTCTTACCTGTACCACTTCCGTGACAGCTTGGGTCTCCCTCTTACTGTCTTGTGCCACACCACGGGGAAGTTGGTGCAGCTGGCAAAGTTCTGCGTGATGGCAATCGTCGTGTCGAGATTGAGAACCACGTGCCACCAGCCCCCTGTAAACACAAAACCAGTGACCACTTCTGGCTACGCAGCAGAAAGCACGCTGGAGAACAGCCACTCATCTTTTGCCCCACAGGAAATTAGACCTCATCTCCTGAGCCCAGGTGAGTTTGCCACAGGGTCTTCTGTCCTCAGTCTTATTTCAGGATTCATTCCAATCCTCTGCAGGTTCTTATTATAGAAGGCTGCACAATGCTCTGAGCAAGTCATGCAGATCGTGAACAGTACTTAAGATCTGGCTCGACAGCAACACACTGGCTGCTGACAGTGTATTTAATAGCAAGAGCCATTGTAACCCAGACAGCACAGAGATCCTCTCTGTTAAGCTAGAGAACACTTTCCACACTGAATTAGTAAGGTTCTTATGATCACAGACCAACCTTTCATTTAAAAATAGATGCAAATTGGTTCCCCACACAGAATAAAAATAGGCAGCAATGTTCCTACACCCCACTTATAACCTCATAAAAAGACTATGGTTTAATGGAAACCGACAGCTACAAAATCCTAACAGAAGGTACACCGAGGAGTCGCTAATAAGTGCCAAGACAATCACAAGGCACCCTTCAAACATGAAGTCAGCTATTAGAGCTGAGCAGGGCGGATAGATGCTATGTGGCATGTTGCACAGAAACAATGCAAGATTTAGGGGTTGGAAGCTAGGCGCTGAACTCACCCACTCTATCCACTAGCCACCTCACCTCCCAGTTAGTGGGGACACACTGCACAGCCACCCTCCAGGAACAGCATCCTTATCAGATCTTTCTTTAGCTTTTGATTTCAAACACCAGATTAAGCATAACCACAGAGAAGTGGGCGGAATGCGTCAGTGACTCCAAGTTCTTTTCCCACAGCCAAGAAAAACACATATGCAGTCAGCCTACCCAGGCTACAAAATTCACTAATGAATTTGGTACAGTGTGTATAAACTCAAATATTTTTTGTCTGAGCGTTACTAATACTCAAACAGCTCTATTCTTTTATGCTTCGATCTCTTCTTATTTATGTAATTTAGTTCGGGATCACATTCCTATGACTCTGCAACTCGATTCCCATTTGGTTTGCCATCTGTACCACACGCAATCCTATGCTATAGGCCATTTATATGTCAAGACATTCAGAAAACCACTGTACAGTCTCAAAGAGGGCCTCACAATATATAGTCCTCTCTTTCCTAAGAGATGAGCCACAAAATAATCTGAAATATTCTCTTTATCTCTATTATTCACTGTTAAAAACACGCTTTTCTCTGCCAGATTCACCTACCAGAGATACTGTACGTACCTGGTACAAAGACCGTCTCGCCTGGTTTCTGTAAGATTTCCAAGGGTTTGAACTCAGGGGGCCAGGTGGGGAGCTGTGTCCTGGGATAGATGACGTTGAACCACGTGATAGCTTCATCCTGCTGGTTCCCTCCCTCCTCTCGCGTCACTTTGATCAGCTCTCTGGGGGTGCTGGTGGGGAACAGGCACCAACGCTTGTGTCCCTGGACTAAGGCATTCCACGCACTAGTTCCCAAGGGGTCGATGTGAATTCCTGTGCCGGACCGAGGCGGGCCCATCACAAACCACCTGCACGGAGAGGAAGAAAAAATCCTTTAGGCAGAAAGCAAGCTGCTGCCTTCTCTTTTCCTCACATTTCGACAGGCATTTACAGCTGTTAAGTTCTCATATCAGTTACTTTGATTGCTTTCTTCATTTACCTTCTTGAGATTGTTAGGCTCAGGCTACAGCAAATGATATGACACGGGTTTAAGCTAAGAACCTAAAATTAATCAGGACAGGAAGATCTCTAGGCCAAGACAGTAGATAGCTTTGTAACACAAAATACAGCTATGAAACGTAAGCAGTTCTTCAAGAAAATACACACTGGCCTCAAGGTTTAAGCCTTCATGTTTTTGCAGCAATGTTTATGAATGTGATTAAGTCACAACGGCCCGCATCAGGGTTCTTGCTATGCAGGAGGATGCTCCTAAGCCTCTGTTTTCTAAAATTTGCTACTCATAAATAGAATCCAGAACTACAGAACAATGAGGAACAAACAAAAAGCGACACAAATAAAGAGGAGAGTGAAGTTATGCAACCCAGGCCTGCCTCTGTGCCTTCTGTTCATGTACAAAAGGCTTTTTATTCCTATATTTAACTCACTGGGGCTTATTCTTTTGTGGCAATTCGGGATTTGGTGTGTATATTCTCACTTCCCAATTTGCAAAGCCTGTTTCTCTCTAGGATGAAGTTTAGCTGCTACAGATATTTAACAGCAGCAGCACCTCCAATCGCTGCGTAACAAAACAGTAAGACCTACTATACCAGATAAACCAGGGTAAGCCAGGTGATTTATTACCACCCAGCAGGAGGAAGAAATGGCAGTAGCTGTTTAGAGGGGAGAAACTACAAAACCATGGATCTGAGTCTTCTTCCACTAAGACCCCTCCACTGGGTGGCTGACAGGGCACTGATACTGAGCAAGAGGAGCTCAAACGTTCAAAAAATACCACCAGTCACAGAACACTCCATCTCCTTCCCAATCCAGGTAGAAATTCAGCTGGTCTCTACACACTGTTTGCTAGCACCGACTATAGGACTAAGTTTTGTTAGCACACTGGGTACTTCCTGCTTCATGAAAGTACCATAAAAACCAGGCCGTTTGTCACTTCTCTTGTCAGAATTTACAGAGGGAAGGCTTTAAAATTCTTCCTTAGCAACACTCTCACTTACTGGCATCTTTCTGCAGGAATTTAGTTTATGATGAACATAACCCAGTTGGCCACACCAAATTTACCATTAAAAACTTCAAGGCCTGTAATGTCAACTTAAAACAAATGACAGCAGCATCATAAAAATCCCCCGAAACAAAACAGCTACTTCAGGGAACAGCTTCCAGGAATTATTGCTCTTATTTAAGGAGGAACAATTCCAGTGAAGATGGTCTAAAAGGCATGAGTTCTTATTTAAGACCTGTACACTACCACACCTCTCAGACCAGAAGTCAATCTGTAGAGCGCATGTCTTGATCACACGATTGGAAAGCATCACTTCTGGTTGATTTTTCCCTTGTGGCACTGAACTACTGAATAATCTTCAACCACTTCTGCACCTAGACAAAACTTCTACCCCCAGGAGGCATCAGGTGTGCTCTACTGCATCACTTGTCTCAAAAAAGTGAGACCAAACTTACATTTTCCAGAGCAAGGTGCAAGAATTACAAACGCTAAGCTCACAAGCGATGAGCTCAGCACGTGCCTGTAGGTGGGGAGGACATGGGGTAAGAAATATCAGTGTGAGTCACAGCTAGGTTACCTGGTTTATCTCTAGGTCTGACAAACCATTCCCTGTCCTGTCAGAGCATTCAGTTACTGCTGGAGACTACACCCGCCCTGCTTTCGCATCTGATCCCAGCACCAGATGCCCTAAGCTCATGATAAAAGGTTTGGTTACAACTCTGTAAAGACACCCGCTCTTAAACAGAACTGGTTTCACACTTCATTCCTGGAAAAGCACAACTGAACTATTACTTCTACTATTATTCATTACTTGTTCTATTATATTTAAGAACAAAAAACCATCCACATCAGAGCCTCGTGTCATTCAAAGGGCAAGGCTTTCTCTGACAATTATAACGTGGCTATAAAGGCTTTAATTACTTGGGAACGTTCAGCTTATTCTATGCTATGAAGCACTACATTAATGCAAATGGCGATTACTTGAGCATCTACTAGCCAAAATACCAGCTTGCTGCACCTGGCTTCAGGAATGAAGTGCCAACTCCATTGTCTTCAAACCAGATGCAAAAAGAGATGGGAAAATATTGTCCTGTATCCCCTGAAGGGGAGCTAAGAGCCAGCCTCCACACTTCATACTAATCTAGCTTAAGATCTTTACCTTGAAAGGACTGACTCATAATTAAACCAATTCCCACACTGCACTTGAGCCACTGCAGCAAGGCCCAGGAGCTAGCCCTGAGGTACTTGAAAATGCGAAGGCCAGAAGGCAACGTCACACGCAGCAAGAAAGGAATCTTCATAGGTTTCAGGAAGCTATGTCCCTATTTATTTAAATCACACAAGTGAGGTAAACTAATTAAAAAAAAAATAATTACACCGGTGACAGGGCCAGAAGTCTCAACATACAAATCAGCTCTTCCTTTCTTCTGGGTTCCAGGCACGTGCTCATTTCAGAACAGCTGATATAAAACTATGATTGCTTGATTCAAAAGAAAGTGGTACCCATGTGGGAATAACTAATGATGGGGAAAACACCTACTTGTATGTTGGTGTCTGTACCATACACACCTGTACGGAGGCCTTCGTTTCTCCCCCGCATACTGGAACAGGTCATCAGTGAAGAACTTGGGCACTTTGTAGTCCTCCAGGAGTTTCCTGCGCTTGGGATGCTCTCCGTAACTGCTGTCGAATATGTACAGCGGGCTGTCGTCGCGCGTGGTCTCCATGTACTCTATGTAGTATTTCATCTTCATCTTCACAGAATACCCGTCGTTGTCCTCCCCGCATTTGAACTTCTGGTTCCTGTACTTGCGTTTCAGCCGTTCCAGAGTCCACTTCTCCTGGGCAGACCAGCCCACCTGAGCGTTCAGCAGGACTACGGGCTTGTAAGGCTTTTCGTAACGCTCCACGAATTCTTCCACCGTTAACTGGAGCGCATCTGCCCTCTCCACGTTATCCTGGGGAACCGAGAGGGGAACACGGAGAATACAGAAGGTTGGGACAGCCTTTAACATCCCCGAGCTGCGCTCTCTGCATCGGCGCGGAGGCACTCACACTCCGTACCACGCACCACGAGGACATCGAGCTGCCTGTGCGTTATTTTAAGCTCCTGAAGGCTGCAGCCCTGCTCTCCGTGCCCAGCGGTAACACCAGCGGGCTGAGGCAGCGTTTGGCACCAGTCCCCAGCACGGTAACTCCCTGCCCTCTGGGCTGACAGACCCTCACCCTGTTTCAGGGGTCACTGCTCCCTCCTCGCCCCCTCTCCCGTTGCTCCCCGAGGGAAGAATAGGAGGGAGGAATTAGGGGAAGGACAGAGCACACGTGCTCCCCCTCGAGCTTCCACGGCCAGCACATCCCAAGGGCAGCTCTGAGGCAGCTCCAGCCTCTGGTACAGGGAGCTCCTGGGCTCACCATGATTCCCCAGCCCCCAGCTTCCCCTCAGCCTTCCCTCCACCCCCAATTCCTTTCAGGGCCCCACTACTCCCCTCGAGCACCCCGTTCCCCTCAGCCTCCTCCCACCCTCTTCAGCCCCCCCCAATTCCTTTCAGAACTCCCTCACCCCCCCCCTTCCCCTCAGAACCCCCCACTTCCCTTTAAGAACCCCCCCCACTTCCCCCCATTCCCCTCAGGACCCCCCTGGTTTGCTCCCATTCCCCTCAGGACCCCTCCACGCTTTTTTCACGTCCCCTTATCCCCCCCTCCATCAGCCTCCCCCTTTTCCCTCAGGACCCCCCTCTCGCTCCTTTCAGTGCCCCCTTCACCCCCACCCCCCTATTTCCCCTCAGAGCTCCCTTATTCCCTTCAGCCTCCCACCCCCCAATCCCCTCAGGACCCCCTCACCCTCTTCAGAACCCCCTCAGCCCCCCCCATTCCCCTCAGGACCCCAACATCCCCCTCAGAGCTACCCCCCCATACCCCTCAGCCACCCCCCCATTACCCTCAGGACCCCTCCAGCCCCCGAATTCCCCTCAGGACCCCCCCCCCATCCCCTTCAGACCCCGTTCACCCCCCCTAATCCCCTCACAGCCCCCCAATCCCCTCAGGACCCCCTCCCAGCCCCCCATTCCCCTCAGAACCTCCCTCAATCCCCTCAGGACCCCCCTCACCCCCTTCAGGACCCCGTTTCCCCCAAAAATCCCCTCAGGACCCCCCCCAGATCCCCTCAGGCCCCCCCTCACCTTGCAGGCGGCGGGGCTGAGCGGGAAGGTCTCGCAGTAGTTGTGCCGGGTCCAATCGAGCGAATCCTTCAGCTCGGGCCGGGCGCTGCGCTTCGCCTCGCGGATCCGCTTCTTGCTCTTGTGGTTCATGGCCGACACCTGAGGGGGTCCCCGAGACCCCCCCCTCCCGCCCCCCCCCTCACCGTGCGCGCGGCCCGGCCCCGCCCGCACCTTCCAGAAATTTCACCCCCCGGCCGCCGCCGCCGAGAGCCCGCCCTCGCCGCGCTCCCATTGGCCAGCGCCGCCGCCGGCTTCCGCCACGCCTCGCCCGCTGATTGGGCGGAGAGGGGGAAGGAGGGGAAAGAGGCGCGGCGCGGCGGCCATCTTGGGAAGGGCGGTGCTGGCGGCGGGCGGGAGGGGAGAGGAGAGGAGGTGGCCTGGCGGGGCGCGCCCGAGCGGGGAGGGCCGCCCGCCGCCCCGCTTCCCCTCGCCTCCCCCTCAGCCTCCCGGGGCCAGCCGGCCGCTCGGTGGGACCGTACGGGCTGAGGCCACACTGCGGCCTAGCGCCGGGCTTCGCGGAGGCGAAGCCATCCCGGCGGCGCTCCGCGTGAGGCAACGACCTGGCAAGGCTCTCATTGGCCAGCGGCTCCCGCTGCCGTGACGTGGCGGCTGCCGATTGGGCGAGGCCATGGCGGAGCCGCGGCGGTTCCGGTTCGCGGAGGAGGGGGGCGGGCGGCGGGAGGCGCTGACGCTGCGCGTGCCCGAGGTACGGGGGGGGGGGGGAAGGGAGCGGGGGGGGGATTCGGGGGGGTCCCGGTTGCAGCGCGGTCGTGTTGCAGGTTCCCGACCGCCGCTACGGCCTCTACGTCTGGCCCTGCGCCGCCGTGCTGGCACAGTTCGTCTGGTCCCGGCGGGGAGCGCTGCCCGGCCGCAGGGTGCTGGAGGTAACGGGGGAACAGAGCGGGGGGGGCACAGGGTGCTCTGAGCACCCCAGGGGTGGGCTGTGAAATGCGTGAGAATTGCTGAAAAATGGGCCTCGTGCGATGCTTTGCTTCACAGGCAGGGCAGGGCAGCCCTCCTGCAGCTCCTAGAGCCACACTTCTGCAATTAATTGCTTAATTAATTGCTTAATTGATCAACTGCTTAATTAAATTAATTAATCAAGTTAATCAGCTACTCAGACAAGCCCCCAAGCAGTTACCCCTCAGGTAACTGCTCTCTCTCTCCCTGGGGAGCATCTTCCCTGAGCCGCAGGGTGTGAGGGGCTGTGGGGCAGCAGGGTGCCCCGCCACCACCACCCTTCCCCCTCCTACATTCCCCCTCGTTCACAGAATCCCTCACGGAACCCCTCTCCTTCCCTCTCCTTCCAGCTCGGAGCAGGCGTGAGCCTCCCCGGAATAGTGGCTGCCAAGTGCGGGGCCGAGGTGCTGCTGTCGGACAGCGAGGAGCTGCCCCAGTGCCTGGAGAACTGCCGGCGGAGCTGCCTGATGAACGCCCTGCCCCACGTACCCGTCCTTGGCATCACCTGGGGGAGGATGTCTCCCCAGCTGCTCTCTCTGCCTCCCGTAGATGTTATTTTAGGGTCTGATGTCTTTTTTGACCCAAAAGGTAGGGTGACATTCTCAGGTGGCTTTGGTTTGGGACAAACTGCAAGGACTTCTTTCCAAACACTGTCAAAAATAATCAAATGACAGATTTTTACAGGGATACTGTAAATGAACTCATTATTCTTGGGGTAAGTAATATGAAACTATCATAAATACTACTGGAAGATAAATTATCAGAAAATTGGAATAATTAGCTAACTGCTCAAGACCATCCTTCTCAAATTTCTCCTACAGATGCACTTTACGTTGATTTTCAACCACTGTTTCATAGAAGCAGACATTTAACTACTCTATGAACCTGGAGACTAATGAAGATTGCTTTATCTCCTCCCAACTATGCAGACTTCGAAGATATTTTAACTACAGTTTACTTCTTGCTGGAAAAGAATCCACAAGCTCAGTTCTGGACTACTTACCAAGTCCGAAGGTAAGCATTTTTGTACCTGTAGGACTGAGAACTTTAATCCTGCCTCAGCTCGTTTACATCACCAGAGAATGCCAACTTCTCAGAGGCACAACTGCACTGATTCCAAAGGCTAAGCTGCTCTCAGACTGTGAATCGGGTTGGTATTAGCCAAATAAATCCTGGGAGCATCAGAGAAAAGCAGCTGACCCCAAGTTTATTGTCGAATAGAGAACAGTAAACAGACTCAGTGTTGGGGCATCATTTAACTTTGGTGACAGCCTCCTCTAATCCCTGCCGAAGTTCCCCACAAGTTCCCCACTCGGGTTGTGTTTTCATGCATTCATGTTCCCTCCCCTCAGTGCTGACTGGTCTATTGAGGCTTTGCTCTACAAGTGGAAGCTGAAGAACACCCCCGTTCCGTTACATTCCTTCGGTGCAGACAAAGAGCACCTGGCCGGCTCTTCTCTACCAGGCAGACATACAATTGAAATGATGATCATCTCACTGGCAAGATCAGATGGTACTTAAGTTTATTCCACTTGTTGGTTCCAATACAAGATGATATTTAACTTTTACTTTAGCATGGATCTGCAGAGAACAGTCTGATTTACAGCAAACCTCATGCGTATTTTTTTGGGAAGCAGACCCCCCCCTTAGCAGTACTTAAAACATGCATTGTAAAAATAAAGCTGTTCATTTGTTTAACTATGGCTTTTGAGAAATTTGTCCTCCTTCCCAAAGACCATGTAATAGTTCAAAAGACTCAATTCCATTATGTAAGCCACTACACAACATAGCTTAACAACCTGACAATCCACAAGATCCAACTTAAATTCACAACTTCAGCTATGAAGAAAGGTTAACCGCACTCTTTCAAGATAAAAAAATATCCCCTTAGGATTGGTTGCCCAGGACTGAAGCTCTTTCCTGAAGGGTTGTATACAAAAAGCCAGTCCCTTTGTTTTTAAGTGACTATGTAGACTGCTGTTAGACACGCAGCCCTGGAACACACAAGCTCCTCAGTTTGTAGAAAAGTACTTTTAATCCTCAGTCAAGCCAGATTGCAAGTATTCAGATCTTCCCATTCCCGTTAAAACATACATGCATAAAGTTAACAAGGCATTACAATAACCCTTGACATGTGACAGTTGACATTACAATTCAGTTGGTATCCAAATCAAGAAGAAAAAATCATCACTGTAAGATTAGCTACCATCAAGCAGCAGCCTGTTGAGGCAGGGCAAGCACACAGCAAATGCAATTAGTACTGCTCAGTGTGTATCTTCCATAACAATGTCCAACAGACCTGTCTGAGTTCATGTTTATCGTCTGGTGTGTAACACTAGTCATACAGCATTCGGGTTAGTCACAATACTAGTAAGTTTGCCCATAGTAACTTAAAAGCAACCCCAGTGGATAAAATTTAGAAGCAGTAGAATGCATTCAGTTACTATATAGAAGTTAAACATTGACAGTATAATTGCAGAAATCTTTTCAAGCTAAAAATAAGCTGACTCGGACATTACGTTGAGAAAAGTTAACACAGAAAAATGTTTAATATTAACTACAGAGACAGTGGGTATAGTACAGGATATCTTAAGCAAAAGATACACCAATCAGTACTTACAGAGGAATGAACCATTTCTTTCTTAACATTACATTTCTCAAATGCAAGTTCATATATGCATGTTGGCAAGATTTACCATTCTGGAAAAAATAAGGTGTGTATACCATCAGCTAGATGTGCTCACTGTATGCTCCGTTATTTTTATGCAAGGCCCGGGTGACTGGAAGTGCAGTTGTCAGGCATTTTAATTAACTGGACAGCCATTTGTTTCTGCACGACAAGGCATCGTTACACAGGAGCAATCAGGAGAAAACAGGAAACAGCCAAGCACTCTGCACTGCAACACGCCACCTTAACAGCTAACCAGCATTACTCAACTGCTACACAACTGCGCCTAGTGCACAAAAATACATAAGAGAAGAGATTAGAATTGAGTCTGATAAAACAATCCTTTCAAACATCAACTGTCACCTGAAAAGATTTCTACCAATTTGGATTTGAAGATACTATTTGAATTCAAAGTAAAAAAGCATTTACAGTAAATTTCAAATTGTAGTTTTGCAGATTTTTATTTAAGTAATAAAGACAAAATTGAGCATACTTTCTTTCCTTCTTTTTTTTTTTGACAGTTAGCTACTCAGCATGTAACGGCTGCATATTTCCTCAGTATGAAACTTGAGGCAGCAAGTTGCCATCAGTTTAATTTCAAATAAAAGTCAGCACTATATAAACAAAAATGAAGTTTTACCTCAAATATCCAAGCCAATAATGAAATCGGTAGTCGTTCACTTCACTAAATTACAAGAAATTTGAATAACAGCAACAAAATGGCACATAAAAATGTAAAATCTGCCACTTGAGGCGCAACTTAAACAAGTAAAAAGTTAGACAAAATGTTACAAAATAACCTTTTCAACAGCTGGTTGCTCGGGCCAGGGGTCTCTCCCATGGACTGAAGACTCAAGCGATCTTTTCCCCCCAAAGGCGTCCTTTAGGTAGGCTCTCATTTATCTGATGCATCTAGGTTTGAAGAAAGAAGAGTTCAGCTAGGTTTCTAACCTTGTATGTTTGTTTTTTTTTTCACTTGTGTGGATGACTTCACGTATATTTCTAGTTGTGTTTCAACTGGCTTTGCCTAATTTCTTAAAGTTTTAGGAATTACCACAGTGTTCCACCTCCCCCCGGGTGTTGCTTTAATTCAGAGGCCAAACGTAAGGTTCTGCCGAAGCATTAAGTTACAAAGAAGAATAAGCATCAGGCTGTAGGTCGAGCCACCATTAACTTGAAACCAGCCTGTTTAACGATAAATTATTAAAAGTTAAATAAAAGTTATAAATCTAATACTGCTCGATAAAAACTTAACTAAACTCTAATTAGCATTCAAAACAAAGTGTCACTACTTTGGCTACAATTATCTAACTTCAGAGCTAGCTCAGGCCCTTTCCTTTTAAAAAATAGGACCAAACAGTTTGAAGGGTTAAAGACACACTATCCTTTCCCCACCCGGTGTGTATCCTTAGAAGCCTCTTCAAGTTGTCCACTTGAGGAAAAATTAAGTTTCCGTTGTTTTCTCGTTGCAATGAATTTGCCACTTTTCTAGAACAGTTACCTCCAGTCAGTACAATGGCCACTGAACCGATCTTCCATTATAAAAGGATAGTGTATCTTTAACATTTAAAGACAAACCTGCTCCAACACACGCCCACAGAAACTGGTCCCTGGAGGATCAGCCAAATCAGTTAAAATCTGCAATACTGGCCAATATTCTTTTAGCAAACAGGAGACCGCAGCTTTAAAGGGGAAAATGCAGATGTTGGATAAATACAGTAAGAAATAGTCATTTTCATCATAGGTTGCGTCTCATACAATATTTTATTAAAATCAAGCCATTAATCTCTCAACAAAACATGAAAATTTTCTGTGTAGAAAGCCCTTTGGTATTAATTTCCCTAAACCAATAACCAAAAAGCACTGCTCAAGAAAGAAAAAAAGCTAACAACGTGCCCCATTAGGATCCACTTGGTTCAGGCTATTAATGCTAAAAACTACCCAACACCCCACTGAAGTGCTACAATAAAGTAACATGCAAGGTGTGCTGATCCCGAGGTACATTACCATTTTCCTAGGAGGATACAGCTCCTTCTTCTTCCGGAGACTTGGGAGGGCTCTTAGACCTGGATCTGGAGTTGGATTCCCTCTTTGATGCAGGTGGAGGGCTTCTAGATCTAGACCGAGATCTTGATCTGGACCGGGATCTGGACACAGACGAGGACTTTGACTTGGATCTCCTGGCAGATCTGGACTTGGATGTGGAGCGAGACCGAGAGCGTGTGCGGGAGCGGGATTTGGACCGACTGTAACGAGACCGACTGCGGGACCTAGAGCGGCTCCTGCTCCTAGATCGGCTGCGACGGCGTCTTCTAGGGCTAAAACATAACAAGAAAGGGGGAAAAAAAGAACGTTAAAAGTCGAACGCAGGCGGCGCAACAGTCTGCCGCGACTACTTCGGGACAGGGCAGGCGGAACGGGCCCCACGTGGGCGAGAAAGCGAGTTAAGAGGGCGCCATTGTTCAGAGTGAGTGGCCGGGGGCTAAATCTAGTAGCAAAACCCTCCCGCTCCCAGACAACTCCACGAGACAACTCCACGTGCTCTCAGCGCCAACCCCCTCGCTCCCTCCCCAGGTCGAAACTCACTTGGGAAGGGAAACAAAACGAAGCAGCCCCACCGCACACACACGTGTATCAGCCGGGGCTCCTTGCCTTAGCTCCTGAGAACACCGCCGGTCCCTTCCACCCTTCCAGGCGCTCACCTGCGGCTGCGGCGGCCGTAGCCGCTGCTCCCATAGCGGCGTGGCGGCGGCCCCCGGCGGCTGTGGTGCGAGTCGGGGGGCCGGCCGTAGCGGGCCATCTGCACCCGCAGCTCCCGGCCATCCAGCACGGCCCCGTCCATCGCGTCCATGGCGTCCTCGGCGTCGCGTTTGTCGTGGAAACGGACGAAGGCGAAGCCTCGGCTCTCCTTAGTGTAGCGGTCCCGGGGGATGTAGACGTCGCCGACCCGGCCGTATTTCTCGAAGACCCTCCGGAGGGTGTCCGGGGAGGTGCGGTAGGTCAGGTTGTCCACCTTGAGGGACGTCATGCCCTCCACGTCCGGCGGGGGGCGCCCGTAGCTCATGGCGGGCAACGACCCCCGAGGGGCAGCGGCGGCTGAGGAGAAGAAACCCGAAGGAAAGCGGCGTGTGCGTGTGGGGAGCCGGCAGGAGGCGGCGCGGCCCGGCGCGAGAGGGGGAGGAGAGGCCTCACAGCGGCCTCACAGCACATAGAGGGAGGGGGAGGGAAATAAAAAAAAATAAAAAACACGGAGAAAGGAAAGAGAAGAGCTCCTCAACGGGGAGACGAAGGGGGCAGGCACCCACCTCGGAGCTCCGGGAGGCGGCCGAGGGCCGGAGCGGGGACGAGGCGCCGGCAGCCACCGCCCGCGCCCGCCGCTGTGAGGAAATGAGCGGGGCGCCGCCCGCGCGCGCCTACTTAACGCCACAAAATGGCCGCCGCCGCCCCGGAAGAGAACCAGGGGGGTGGTGGTGGGGATTCACCTCTCCCCGACACTTTTTTTTTTTAATCTATTTTTTCTATTTTTTTCTCTCTTTTTTTAATCAGCCTGCCCTTCCCTGAGGCGGAAGGTGGAAATTCAGTGTTGAAGTGCCCGGCTCGCCGCCGTTTTAAAGCGGCCGTTGAAGGCTGCTGTGGGGTGACCCGGAAAGAATGGGAGGAGGCGGGGAAAATTTGAACGATTTGTGCTGAAAACGGCCCAAAATCGGAAATAAGCCGAGGGTTGGCTATTCTAAGGGTGGGAGGGAGAGGGGTGGGCAACCCCTACCGTGTGGGAAAACAAAATAATAAAAAATAAACTTAACGAAGGGAAGCGCCCCCCGTGAGGGAGGGGGGAGGTGACGGTTTAAAATGGCGGCCGCTGAGGGGAGGTGAGGGGGGAGGCAGCGTGCGGGGCTGCGGCTGGGCCCGGCGGGCTGCCCGCTGCTCCGTGCCGCCTCGTCCTGCCCTCGGCTTCCCCTAAAACGAGGGAACCTTCCCCTAAAGCCGCCCCGGTTTGCTCGAGCTCCTAGCCACGCTGTGGTGGGGGCAC